GCGCCAGGTTTACGTTGTCGGTGTTTCTCTTTAAACCTAGTCGTTTTTTTTTATGGACGAGGACAGTTGAATGAATCTAAGGTTAAGTGATGTCGCACCTTCGGATTGATTAGAAATGTGTGAATACATACACTAGGCTATACGTTTCACTGCAACTGCCCACAACACAACATCTAAAAACTCTCTCTCAAAAAAAAAAGAAAAAAAAAATAGACAAAAAAAAAAGAAAAAACGCTGACCGAAAAATGTATATCGTTTAAAAGTATACTGAACGACCAGTGTTATTACGGCTCAGGTGTATGACTTCCTCTCACATTTTGTCATTTGGTGGCGCACTTTCGACGAGAGTCGGAAATTTGAAAACAGTCGACCGTTTCACGATAGGTGGGCGTGGCTACAACACGAGAAATATCCCAAATTTACTTGGATACGAGTAATCATTTTCAGCAAAAAAATCAATAACTACCCTTTTCAGTGGGACACAGATCTAAAATGGGAAACGTGAGGGTGGGCATTGCACAGGCACTTTAAGCAAGCACAATTAACCTGCGTTTTGAGAAGAAAAATAAATAACAGTCTCTGACTGAGATGCATAGTTCCTATTTTTTTTTAAGTTAACATGTAGTATGTGAAATACCAGCATATGCTTAAAGCTGTTAAGGAGACAGCAAAACAAAGGATGAGGGGGGGGGGGGTGAATTTACGCAACTTAAACCTTAATTTTAATAGTTATTTTCTAGTCCTGATTTTTTTCCTCAACACTATCAGAATGTATATGATTGTAACCAATTAATATTTAACAATATATTTTTGACAATTAGTATGCAAATGAAATGCAACTCCACCACCTCAGAAAATTCTCTAGGGATATGTACATATACACTAGTATCAAAACAATCACAAAAGCAGCTAACAAGAAGTCAAATAGCCTTTTTTACCTAAAACTACAAAAATTTTCAATAAAATTAAAGACTTCACAAAATCATCACGAAATATTCAAATCTAATAAAGGTCCACACAAGGTACATGTACAACAAGCATCGCACCAATTGTGGTTTTCAAGAATAAGTCCTTTAAAAGAAAAATCATCACAAACTGAGACAACAACAATCACAAACTAACAGCTCCGTCTGTCCTCTTCAATGACACACAAATGACAGAAGATTGTATGAAAAAATATGTAAGGTTGATATAACAAATTACTGCAGATGGCGACTTCTGATGCACACCATTTTGGCTAACAATAAGTCTCAAGATCTAACACATTTTTTTAAGCATCTGTCTACAGCAGAATGAGTTAAGCTGCAATGGGCTCTTGCATAAAATTCTAGCATGCAATAAAATTAAATTCTGCAGTAGTGATCTCTGAACCATCTTATCATGGCTTGACTGTATGATTGTATTTATATTGGATACAAGCAGACTAACAGGATATATATGTCTAATGTTGGTTTCATGTTCTCAACGTTTCAGTTTAGAGAAAGGCGTTGAGGGATTCTTCAAACCTTGATGGATTACTGACGTTGGTGGCATGCTTGAGGAAATTGAACCAGTCTCTGCCACATTTAACTTTTTTTTTCAATATGCTATGCAATTCATAGTTTAGCATTTCATTTATTTTATATAATAAAGTAAAAATAAAATAAAAATTCAGTAGCTGTAAAAATGAGCCATATAAACATTGCCCAACACAAAAGTAGGTTCGCTTTGAGTACAAAGATGTGAAGGTACCAGCACTGCCTGGGAACATTCAGCAAGAGAAATAGATGAGTACGATTATGATTTCTGCTGAAATCATAGACCTTAGAGTTTTCTAAGGTTTACGCTGAAATAAAGTGCATAAAACCAATTTACCTACGACAGAGACTGATTAGGTACACTCAGTCAACGCTCCAAGACTTGGAATTGAGAGAAAGGGTGTTTTAATAAAAACTTGCAAGCTCTTAGACTATTTTAATTCAATAGAGATTTTATATTTAAAAATTAAAGAGACATTATAAAATTAACTATTAACTTCTTTGTACTCAAAAGTAAAATGTCCTGTTCGTTATGCTCAACAGTATATCAAGTCAACAGCAGTAATTTAATAATTTGATTATTAAAGTTGTATTGCATAAGTATTTGAATGCTGCAAATGTCAAATTCACTGTAATCTTAATCTTTCTCAGATATTACAATTTGAGCATGCATAAAACACTTGATTTTTTTTCAAATAAAGAGAAGGTTTTAGTCTATCTTTTAAGAAGATGCACTGCAAGTGACCTTAAATTAAATGATGATCAAGGGAAATGAACCAGACTGACATTCAAGCTCCTGGCAAGGAAAATAATTCAAACTGATTTAATCTTATTTTCCATCTTACAGACAGTCTGACAGTTAAAAGAATGAAAGTGCAAGTGATAAATAGATCATTTACTCTTAAAAAGTGTCTGATCACAGACCAGAGAGCATAAAAGAAATGAAGAGAAATATTTTATTGCATAGCGACTTCTCAGACTACTTTGCAACCTACGGGAAAACGCATACAACTAGACAATCACATTTACCCTGTGCATACGGTAACTATTTTATCTCCAAAATCATCTATAAATTATCAATACAACTTTCAAGTTTAAGCCTTCGTTTCTGTGAGTCATTACAGGCATACCACTGACAACTGCCGACATAAACATTTCTATTAAATTTAATAACTGGCACTACTGTGTCAAATCATGGAAAATCTGTTCAAAATCAAAACAATAACAACATCATATAAATCGACACCGATTGGAAAGTGCTCATGAACTATTTATTTTCCATTTGATTTTAACTTAATTAGTGACTCACGAGTTGTCAGACCTGGTGCATAGTGCACTGATCCGGGCCATGACCGACAGATTTTTTTTTCAATTTTAGTTAACTCGCGATCGCTACTGTCTGCACTTCAAGCTTGAGGTGCCGTATGCAGACTGTAGAATATTTTTTACTTGGATGCACTCGATCGAATATTAACGATAACCCTATCGTCTGACAGACAGCGTAATGAAGCACATATGAAGCGACCGTGAATCAAAATGTCAAGCACACGAATAACGCAACGCATCTGATTTAGGTTTGGCGAATAAAATTCAGCTGGAAATTCGTGAAAAATGCAACCGGAACTGAGCTAAAACCTGCAAAACTCCTTCCAGATTTCCAGTGAATCGGTGGCCGGTCAGATCGATGTTGAAATATCATCGGCAGCTGTGTGGTACTATAAATTGGGCACCAGGACAGCCACGTGAAGGGAAGCATGCTTTTGTGTTGTGATTTCTCAGCTGAGTACTTACCAGTTACGTATTTTCTCGTCACAGCGATGAAGAAAGCCGAGTGGATCAACGTAGCGCCACGTCAGAAATACACGTACAGCGTCATCGATGGCAAACAACGAGACCTGACAACTCAACAAAACAGGAAATATCAATCCGCTAAACATATTATAATTATATGCAGTTGTTTACGATGTCGTGAGCAGAAAATGACGTCACAAATAACACCAGTGATTGGTTAGAATATGTGTTTGACCGGCAATGTTTGTTAATTCGTTCCTCAACTGTTATTTACACATGTAAGTGACGTCACTTTTCTCTTTGTTGATTAGTGGGAAAATAGGAAAGGGGTAGTAGATCTAGATCATCATGGTACGGACTACTTTTGTGTGTCCTCGCCATGACGTCGACATTGAAGCACACCGTTAACATGGATTTAAGTCAGTGTGTTTGTGCAAAATGTCACATTTACTTTGCGAGTTGACGGTTATTATACAAGTGGGTTTTCTGTAATGCCTGGATATATAATTATGACTATTTAAAAAAGAAATAAACGCTGTTTTCAGGAACTACATTTTGAAGGCGATATGCTTCATATGTTGGCATGTGTGTGAGGAGTTCTTGGTGTTTGAAATGGCACATTCCATGAAATTGTACGACAGGGTGCGCAAAGGTGGAATGATGGGCACACTCTGGCTGTGCAATTAAATAAGTAATAACAATACATATACATATTGAAGTTAAAACGAGGCATAACGCGCTCTTGGAACATGTTAGCCAAATAGGGAGTAAAATTTGATTTAGTTTAGGCATTTAAAATGCCTTTCCCACACTGGCACTCCAAAATTCAATAGTTTTGAAATATTGGCATGTTGATGCAATTAGGAGAGCATTGATACTATAATAACTTGTCTCCCAGAGGGAAAAAAAACGAAACACATCAATATTGTTTATTTTCATGATACACGCATGAATATAAAACAAAGTAATATTTCAAAATATCACTATAAATATACTGACTTTATTTGAGGTAAAACCATTCAAGACATGACGTCATTGGAACAGGTTTGACGTATTTCCGGTTATGAAAACAGGTAAACTGTGCACTGGGAATACACAAGTCATCGGCCCATTTCAAATTTTATTGTCGATGGGGGAGAAAAATGTGCAAATGTCTGCAATGAAAGTTGTTTGTGTATCCAACAAAAATGGATGAATGCGTAGACGAGTAAAACATTGCTCTTTATTGTTTAAGTCGTGCCCTTACAATATTGCCGCCGGAGAACTGCATAGAATGCAAAAATAGCCGGGATACTAAAACAGCATAGCCCCTCCCAACACCTAACACTACTGCTAAAAGTATAATTAAAAATAAACTGAGAACACAAAATATGAATGAGAACATGAATGAAAAAAAACAGATTTTCTCTAGAGAAATATTTACATATAATCAAAAAAACTGCTATAATATCGCTCTACAAATGACCAAACTGAGGATAAGTGATAAGTGTTCATTGCTTACTGATTGGAATAGGAAATTATATACATATGTATATATATGACATCTGGGGTCCAATATAATTATGGTTTCACTGATAGAATAATAGATTATGTAAGTCAACTGTTTTTCGTGATTATGCCACGGCCTCCTTACATCAAGTTTATCAATGCCCACACGAGCAATCGAAGAACAAATCTCCACCGTCACGCTGAAGTTCGTACCTACATCTATATAAAACTCGTTCAACGAGAACAATGATCAGCGGGTTGTGTCGTTCAATGGGTAGCAGGGCGTCAAAGTGACAAGTTAAAACCACGTAAAAAACTATTTCGAACAAAAAATATTTTTTTAAATAGTCCATACACTACACCATATTTTAATCAGGTTGACCATAGTTTATTACAGTGCTAGTTATTTAGTGTGTATATTACAATTACGGAAACTGTATTTTATCAGCCAATCAACGATAATGTTACCCGGAGTAACTAGGTCGCACACAATTACGTTGAGGGAACCAACATACCAAGCTTTCTCATCTCATATGGATAAAGGAAGCAGAAACTTCTCCCATAGTCCTTTGCACACCAATAAACCTTATTCATGACCCCTAAAGGTCATACATCCTGGCACTTTTGGGGGGATATTGTTGTAACAGAGTAATTATTTCAATAATATTTCTAAATTCGTGTCATTTTTTATTGTTTTTAAACTTCATTGCCAACTGCTTGTATTTTTTTTTTAAATTAAACGCGAACCCAGGCGTTTCGTCTTATTTGTGTTATTATGATGGCACGTATTCGTTCAAGTTGGTCATATTTGGTAGTGTTGTTACACCGTGGAAGTTGAATTTCTCAAACCAATTTTGGACATCAAAAATTGTATCATTGCCCCTCCCGTCTGAGTATATGTACCTGCGACGGCCACCCAATAACAATGAAGATTAAATTAGTAAATCGCTCAGACGACTGTCTGAGAGCGGATATAACTATGTCCTACAGTTTAAGACAAACTCTGAGATCGAAAATGTTATTTATTTTTTAATTTTGCAAACGGACAGTTCCCGTGCCACTTTCACCTACTCGTTCGATTGTATCTGCAGATCGACTCCCGTATATCAAGATGGATTTAATATATTAGTTTGACGAAAGTTGTACGTGCCAACAAGTAGCATTAGAGGCGACAAACATAACTACCAATATCATTCGTATCGGTGTTATCGATATCACGGTTACTAAAAACCGTGTCGATATTGACCACCCACATCACGTGGAATACTGGACTATCGAGTAAATAGTCGAGTCTAAATATACTATTTGAATAATGTAATTTGTCATTAAAGAAACAATTTATCTTTCCTCCACGTGTAAGTTTAAGCCTGCACATAGTGTCACCATGGCAACCGTATCTCTGACGTCAACCACGCCATTCATGAAACGACAAAGGAAATTGAATTATCACAAATGAACTAAATGACGAAATTAAGAGTGACTCTCCCGTACGAGCGCTGTATGTGTACCGGACTACTCGGGAGGTTTCGAACTGGTAATTACCATCATCAGCGATTTCAACTTGGTTGCACTGTGAATTTAACCTACTAGTATTTGATAATCATACTAAATTTGAGATTAAAAAATAAATAAGTGGTGGTGTTATTTATAGCCTCCTTATTTATAAATATGACGTGTCACTCTGTACGCACACAATTTTAAGGAATGACGATTATTTGCAGCGGGCGCCAAAAAAAAGTGATGAGAAAAACCGCTAGCGGTGTATTCAAGTCCAAGCCGTGTATTATGTCTTGTATCATAGGAGCGTTTAGATAAGTTCGTATATGGTGGATATAGCGATAAAACTACTGACGTCACATGATGTGGAAGAGCCAATGAAAGGCTTGGTTATATATATTTTTTTATTTATGGATACAACACCGATTTTGAATAGTACAGCAGTCACTAAAAAATACAAATAACAAAATGACTAACAGTTAAAGATAAAAAGTGGACACAAATTACATTTAAAAAATACAAGAATCCCTGTCAATTAAATATATGAAAATACATAAAAAAAAATTGTTCTTCTGTCAAATTTGTGATACGGTACCATTTATTTGCTTTCCGGCTTCCTCATATAATTTATTTCCTTGATCGCTATAAAAAGAACACGTTGTTATAAAATGGCATTCGTCCTGAGCAAAGATTGCAGATTTTTTTTTCTGTTGGCAATTTCGGGTTAGTATACCTCCCTGTTTTGTTTTCGATTCAAACATTTTCTTGAATTCTCTGTATATCCTCTAGTTTTTTTTTCTTTGAATTAATTTCTTTGTTCCAATGAATGATGAATATTTTTTTCTAGTTTTTTTTTTTAGAAAATTGTTTTTGTTTTGTGATTATAGTATCAATAATAATTATAGTATCTGTATCGCTTAATAATTGCGTTTCATTAATTTTGTCTAGTTCAAAAGTTGATACGCAATAACATTTACTATTTAATAACGCTACTTTCTTTACAATTTCGTTTGGAGTGTTTATTACTCGGTTATATATTATTTAATCATTTGTCTTTTGATAAAAAACATCTATCGGAAACTGAGCCAATTCTCTATATATTCTCATTATGGAAGCGTTTTTGCTCACACCTGGGATGAATCGTAAAAAGTACAAATGAACATCTTCCATGAAAGATTTGTAAGAACTCTCGTCTCCCCAAATATCATTACCGTATATACTAGTATTGGTCTAATTCATTTGACGAAGAGGGACAACGTTGTTTTTTTGAAATGTAGATTAGATTTATCACCTTTTCTTTCAGTGAGAACAAAGCTTGTTGCTATTTTCTTTTGAATTTACCATTCATACAAGGAGTGATTCCCAAATAAATAATGAGTTTTAAAGACGAATAAATTGTTAGATAACTTTTTCTAAACCCAAACTGTGCTTTCAAGATAATTTTATTATCATCTAGGAATATTGTTTTTCTTTGATTCAATATATTGGTAAACAGGCAGCTGGATAACGCTACACCTGTGTAATTTGAGGGGTTTGATTTTGAACCTGATTTTTTAAAAAAAATGGCACAGTAAACCTGAACTCCATGATTCTGGGAAATCGTTAGTTTTGAGTACAGCACACAGCTTAATTGCTTATGCCGTGGGAATGTGCGCGATTGGTTGTGCCATAATTGTTTATTTCCTTGTATATTAATAATATTTGTGTATTGAGTGTAGGGTTCATTTACATAATTATATTATTTATGTTCGTATCATCATTGTAGCAACGTATGATTGCTTATTGTTTTATAGGCTGTAGTGTATATTTAGGTAACTATTACTAGTATTTATCATCTAACTGTCGGGGCAGGTAGCCTTGAATACTAGTATTGTTAGGGGTGATTTCCAATAAAATAAACAGTTGGCTGACTTCAGCAATAGGTGATTTTCCGAACAATTGCGAGATCTCGCGAGATGCATGAAAGACGCGCGTCGAACGTCTGCCGCAAAAATCGAACGATTTGATTTTGAACTAGATTTTCTTTATTTCGTAGCTTACATTGGCCGGCCGATCTTCGACAGAGGAATATTGTATCCGAATACCCTTACTTAATCGAAATTGCCTATCATCAAATGTGGACAGCACATTATTAAGCATGGAAATGTCCCCGAAATACTTTCGCGTTTGTCGAATCCCACGCGATGTTTGACGCGACTACGACGCTATGACCTTTGTTTGTCCTGTTTTTACGTTCGATTTTACGCATAACGCGTGATTCTCGCAGTGAACGGAAAATGGTCTATTGCACTGTAAATGTATCGTATGTGTGTGTGTTGAATGTGTAAAGTATGATGACGACAGCGGATATACGAGCACTGTTATAAAATACCAATGACGTCACACACAACATATAATATGTCAAGCCTACACACTGGACAGTACATTTTATGACACAATGCAACAATTCGAGTGTTGTATATCACACTGCGCACTACATACTACACAGACGACTGGTGTGTCTGCATTTTATATCAGCATACCTAAGCTGTGTGTTTTCTTTCAATGGACATGTAATATAACATGATGTTGATGTGAATGTTCTGGCAATGTTATCTCCTGTTACATGCGTAGTCCAAAAAACTCCAAATGAATAATTTGTCGATGAACAATCTGTAATCACTGATGAATTTACTGCCGTTAAAAATTGTTGCGATTTCAGACTGATGTTCTTCTCCTCTAAAACATGATCGAGTTCAAGCGGCAAAAATCCGTCGAGTGTTTCTAATGCATTTAGTTTTGCCAGGATTTTACATTTTAGGATATGCATATCCCACGCGGTGAGCGCAACATGACAGCTATCTACCTACGCGACGAATCCACATAGTATCGCATATTGCCGTCAGTAAATATCTCCACTTTTATAAACACCTATTCATATACTAATACCGAAGGGCTAATAATCGAAACATCTAATTATTTTCAATAATTTAGACTACGATTACCAACTGCCATTTATCTGCAAAGTTCAGCTTAACACTCTTTCCTTAAATAAATAATATTAAACACGTCCATATCATTACTTCAAATGTTACCAGGGGTACAATTTAATACAGGATACCACGATTCATGAGCCATAAACAGTTACTAGTATATTTTCATTAATATTCGACGATAGTTACCGAGTAGGCTGATCTCAGATCGGTTTTATACATATAATACAGTTGGAAACAGTGGTAACATGGGGATAATGTAGAAAAAATGGGGGAAGTGCACACTGCATATTATGTAAGAATTGGGGAAATGACAACAAACAGGTCCGTCATAGTATTTTTTATTACAGTACAATATACCACGGTCGGGAATATGCCCCGAATGCATGCTTAGAACAATAGGTTTAGAGAACTTGAAGATATCCACATACATTCCATAGGCTATGCATAGTCGGCTGCTCGTTACTCTATTACCTCATTTTCATTGTTACTAGTTAGCTTTTATCTCGTAGCATGTACGCGAAAGTCGAACATGGATTTCTGGAACGATTGGAGGCGTTCAGTGGAACGGCATTGAAAATGCCGGGAAACAGCACCACGCGAGAAGAACCCCAAGACCAGAACACCGTGACGTTCGATCTCTTAGAACAATGCGACGTGTCGTCAGAAACACTTGCAGTTGTCTGCAGTGTCGTTGAGTAAGAATGTAGGACTATGTCTGATACACAGAGCAACTTGAATGAGTCCAACAGGCACTTTAGCAACCATTCTCCACCAGTGCCAACACAAAATGTACCCCACTGCTCCGCGGTCGGGTCGCCAAGCATCGTGGAAACGGACACAACGAACATTGCCGGCAGGGAAATGAAACCTGAATGCGAACCGAGTCTGGCCGCCGTTGACATTAAATACCACTCTCAAACTATATACAGTCCGCAACATGATGTCGGGTACGCGAGGGAACATCAAACAGTCGAAGCCGATGCGTCAAGTCTTGAAGATGTGCCAAACCATCGACGTATCTCGAATGGCGTGGAAGGTACACGTTGCGGTACCATGGAAACAGCATGCGAGAGACAGCGAGGCCAGGCACTCAAAATCAGTAAGAATAGCGGAACAGTTTGTGTTTCTGTTAATGATGTTTACAGGGAAGAGCACGATGAAGAAAGGTCATATACAGACATGGATCAGAATGCATGTTACGCGTCTGTTGTAGTTGTTTCCTTGGAAACCGAGAACTCACCGGCCCCCGAATCGCTTCAATCTAAGAATGTATTGCAACATACACAGACAGCTTTTTGTATCGGGGACGACGTCTTATCCTTTTCAAGCAGTGGTACGTCCACAAGAGAAATGTGCAGGATTTGCTGTGGGGGGCGTGATACCGGGGAACTGATGAGTCCATGCATGTGTGCAGGTTCGGTGGAATTTTGTCACAAAGACTGTCTACGTAAATGGATTTCCTGCCAGGGTTGCTATCGATGTGAGATATGTCACGATAAATACATGGTACACACTAAGATTCCAGCCAATCTGAATAAGGTAATATATCACGTGCCAATGAGCGCTTACCACTCATATGTGTTTGAACTCACCCGATTGGTGGCAGGAAACAAAAACTATTCCGAGGTCAATGTAAAGCAAGATTGTGTTCGATTGGCTGCCCGACTGTAACACCTAACAGTCCACCCAATCGGAGAGGAGCTTGTTTGTTGCCGGGGAAGGGGCACTTGGATTGCACGTACGGTGTTTGGGATTATTAAAATCAGAAAACAAACCAAAATGATAAAACAAATTTTAATTTCTTTTGCGAATATCCCCTACATATCTCAGCATAAACGACGCTCAGAAATCCGCTCAGATTGCCCCTCGAAAATAGGGTTTGCTTTGGATGTTTTTTGTACTTGGATTGGAATCAAGTTTTTTTTTTGTTTTTTTTTTTGTTGCAAATGCTTGTACGCAGTCAGAGGCGATCACGGGTATGCTCCAATTCGAGTGTCCCTGGCATTTGTACGTATCAAATTTTGCTCCGACTCAACTGTATTTTTATAGGCTCCACTGTCGACTTTTTCGGAGCTTATCATATGACCGATTTTGATTGTCCGTCGTCAGTCGTCTTCCGTCTCCTGTGTCAACTTTTTACTTTTTGACTTTATTTTTTAATTCTCTAATTTTGTGGAAGATTTATTTTTTTTGCTAAAAAGTGATATTTTCGACCTCTCATTGAAAACCAATTCAATTTAGGTGAATACAAATGTAATACAGGTATATATATACTTATCGTAAAGATACAGTAAAGAAATAAAATGTTACATTTCCGTGAGTTTTTGTTTAACATTGATAATATTGTTTTCTTGTCGTATATGCTGTTTTTATGTATTTAATTAATTCTTTTATAAATGGTCTGTTCTCAGCATTTAAAATGTAAACACATTTTTTCTGTATTATTTGCTTGAACTAAGTTTTCAATTGATTCTGAAAATTTTGTGTATAATCTTACTCTGGCCTCAGTATAAAGACTACATGATGTGAAAAAGTGTAGCTCATCTTCAGTAATATTACATTTTGCACATTTTCTATTTTCAATTTTTATTTTTGGTTTTTGATGTCTTCCAGATTCAATGATTAGTTTATTGTCATGAATTTGTTTTTGCGTATCTGTTGACCGACTTAATTAGCTGATTATTAGCGAATTGCTGTGTTATGTCTGTCATCGTTTAGGCCTATTTGAAGTTTTGGACGGAACTTGGCTCAGTGATTTGGAACTAATTACCAGATAACCGCCGCTTTTTAGACTACTCATTCTGACAGTTTATATCCATAGTTATTAATGTAGTGAACGATTAATCAAAAGATATGACGTATTCAGTGCTTAGTGTGATTGGCTTTATGATTGAAGGTTACGCCCTAGAGTCTTTTACTGCTTTGTAATTGGTTAGAGTTGTGAAAATGAATAAAGAGAGTTTGAGTTGGTCTTGGGGAGCACAGCACGATAGACGAATAGAGAGAGTGCAATCGAGAGTCCAGTCCAGGGGCGAGCCTTGAGGCAGTCCAGTCTTGGGCGAGTCTTGGTTCAGCCTTGCGATAGTCTTGGGGATTTTTCCCCAGGGCGCTGTGTCTTATAGAGTGCTCGATTGACCGACTAAGACGAGAGCTGAAACGTATTTCCTGGCAAGTGTGGAGAACCCCAGAGAGAAGAATATCCCCCGTGATATTATCATGTGCATTTACGGTCTTAGTCTAGAAATAAGGCCAGTATCCTCTCTGTTTCGTACTGTTTTTAAGTATTTTGCAATTTCGATCTTATTTTTTAATAATTTATATATATATAGATACTATACGTAGACCTCTCCCAGATTTGTTCATTTCGTGATGATATGTTCACTTCTCTAATTTTCAGCCGAGAAGCTGCTCGTTGTATCATTAAAGGAAATTCATGTAGTATCTTAACTCTGGAAACTCAATGAAGTAAATGTCAATTTTTCTGGGAATGTTTAACGATTATTCATCTCAGCCACTGAACAAGACATGCTTTAAGGTCTCATGCCACTAATTAACCAATGGCTGCTCGTAGCTCAATTTAAATGCCCAGCAAGAACCAATGAAATTTTTTAAATATTATTGTTCTCAGGTGCTCCCTGTTTGAGGGCGTAATCACCTGGGTCAGAGGTGAGACCAACATGTGGTCTTTTGTTTACTACTTAGCGGCTGTGTACCTGTGGGTTTATTCTGTGTGTTAATGGATGTTCTAATCTTGGTGTTTTTTCAGTGATTTCTCTTGGTGCAATCCAAATACAGTAGGTGTGTCTTGTTTACCTGAGATTTGCAAGAGTTTGAGTTGGCCAACATGTTAGTTTTTTTCATATGGTTGATTACTAGCATGTTGATTTCCCATTTTTGAGCCATATTTTCAACTTTCTTCGTCATTTTCATATAGCAATCTTGTCATATGTTAACATTGTCGTCTATGGAAATTCAATTAGTGGTATGAGCCCTGAATAAATACACGCAAAAACATGGATAACTTGCAAAGTTTGCGATTTCCGTGACTTTTTGGTCTCTTATTTATTGAAAAATTGCCTGGTCACTTTGTGTCATTTTCTGTACCCTAATAACATGATAACAAATATGTGTATTTTATCACGGTGTATTTCAGTGGAAGAGCGTGAAGCTGACAGGAGCGGAGAGACTCCACATAGCCGTGTTCGTATTGACTATTTCTTTCCTCGTGTGCACGCTGACGTGGATATCATGGTCGGCACTAAGCAATGACCCGGATGCAATCTACGAACGATCCACCGTGGCTGGTCGTGTGTCATACACAATCTACGTTCCCATGGATATGTTATCATTTTGTATCATCGCCTTGGAAATTAGGTTTGTGCTCTACAAGATTTGGAGAAGGTGGCTTTCAATAAATGCTGACATTTCTGTGATTAGTGCACACCAGCGGTTCAAAGATGAACAAAGACAAAAAGAAGAGACAGTCACGAATGTACAGTTGACGGGGAATTTCTCGCGTGATTATGTAAATGTGACAATTGTTTCGATGGACGAAGATGAACCGACCGCCGAACGTGACGCTGAATTGAACATAAATCGTGAAAGAAAACAAACATGTTAAATACTTTATGTAAATCATGTGGCCGTGTTTAATTAAACTATTTTCACGAATTTGTAATAATATTCACTGGCATGTGACATCAATGTGTCATTTCTTTTATGAAAATATTCATATATTTTTAATGTTTTAATAACATGAAAATCCGTATCTCGTTAGCACGAGGTAGTATCTCACAAAACGGAATTGTTTAATGGAGAGGGGGGGCAAGTAAACTTTATTTTATTGATGGCCCGAATAAGTCTTGTAAAGTACTACCAATTTTTTACAGGGTTTTAGCGAGCTTTGTTCACTGAAACTTGGAATCAATGGAATGCTGGTGACACCTAATACTCGGATCGCCGGTACTGATATGATCAGTGACACCTCATCGGGTTCACCTTCTGGATTTAAATACTAGTATATAGTACCAGAGGTACATTACTTGGGGTTTGCAACTACGGTGACATGATACCAAGATCCCGTTTCAATCTCGCTCCCGCATAAGCGTTCCAACTCAGAAAAATGCGAGTGCGCATGCCCGAGGTAACTAGAGTACTGGGATGTCCAGGTGGATCAAAATAGATGCTCACGATATGACGGATTACGATGTTTTCTGTACATTTTCGATGTATTACATTTTTTCACTATGAATGTGGTAATACATGTATTATTGTTTTATTACAAACCGCCTATGTCATGTCAGAAGGTCGCTATCTACGTGATGAGACTTGAATGTGATCTTGACATGATGTCACCATACAGTACTATGCGCGTTGCAAACCCCAAGCAATGCACCTCTGATAGTACGTATGTATGTTGTAATATGGTGGTTTTGAACATTTAGTGCATTTCAAGGACTAGTCTTGTTTTATCAACTTCCATATTCCTTGATAAAACTAACCACCGGCTTCTCACACCGACACATCAAACACATGTACTTCATCGAACGTCGTCACCATAGAAATTCAAAATTATTGACAAAGAACAACTTTATTTGGAACACAATGAAAAAAAAGTTTCAGTAATACCAGAAATTAATTAGAAAAACAAACACTAGTAGGTGGTTCTCAGCTAGCACCCATGATGCTCTCAGGCTGCAGTAGTCGATAATCACGGTCTTTTAATAGTACGTGGGTGTCGACCTCCTTCAGCACCTGGCAATGATTCATGGCTGGGCTCCTTTTGGAATATTTGCTTTGCCTCGTAATAAGCGCCGGATAAAATCGTGAATACTAGCAGGTAACCTTGACAACGGCACCCACAGCACCTTCGCATCCATACCAACATGATAACGCAGTTGTGGTCTCACAGCGGTGAGGGCGTGTTCCATCGCCTCGGGCACCAGGTATGTCTTGGTGTTGGTACGCTCACATAAAGCTTTCTTTGCTCCTTCACGAACTATATAATGCAAAAAGAAAACAGACTGTCAGAACTGTTATATCAATCAACTAATCCTTCCACGTGCTACGATTGCAAAGATCGAAGGTTTGTAAAATGTTTAAATTTGGAAACATGAACTTTCGGCGGGAAAGGGTAGGCTGGTATTGATTTTTGAATACATCATAACAGTGCATTATCTATGCACTTTCCAAGACATTGTATCATCATATCTAATCGCCAAGGCCATTGGTTCATTGTGAACGTATTTGTACACTCATTTGTAGTATGATTTGTACTAGCCTGACATGTAGGCGTGAGTAGCGCCCTCGCCGGCCGAACGGCTTCAGACGTCACTCACTGTGTTGGATTTGGAGCACCGCTGAGAGCGCAACTCACGCGACCCTGTCAGGCTAGATTTGTACGAGATCTCTTCAACTCGCAAATGTGTTACCAATCGGCTTTCTTAAATCAGCACACGTGATCATATGTTGTAATTTTGCAAGGAAGGAAATGAATTTCTTTATCTCAAAGTTTCACACTGCAATATGATCTCTTCTATTTTGGAAAACTACGACGCGCACCACTGTACCATGCATTTCTATGGGCTCTGTGCGCGCTGCTGTGGAACGCCGGTCGAGCCGGTGAAAATTCGATAAAACAACACAAACTCAATTTTGAAGTAATCCCGAACAACCAAATTTATATATGTTACACACGTAGGGCTAATCTTGTTACACTGTTCAGAGGAGTCTCAACAGTCATCCCAAAGTACCGTTTTCTGCGAGTTTTGGGCCTTTGTTTTCACCGCCGCGGGTTGCCAGGCGGTGAAAATGCCCGGATGTCCGCGCTCGAGGATATACTCGCATATTTATCTAGGTAAAAAACAAGCCTCGGTCAGTATTTGGAGGAGAGGAGCTGATCATGACTTGACGTGTAGACGCCTGCGAGAGCCTACTTATATCTTGCAGACGAAAGTGATCCCTGAGTAAATTTTCGACAATAATAATGACGCATGCATGTTTATACCATGAGGCCAACTGGCTAAAAAAAATGTTACGACATGGAAAGATTTAAAAAAAAATACGTACATCTTTGGAACCATTCTTCTCCATATTCGTTCCTTGTTTCTGGGTCAAGCGCCTCCCATCGTCGGAGAACTTTTCTTTCGAGAATATCCCAATTTGTCAAATTCGTTCTAAAGAAACCTGGCTCGATAATATGCACAGATACCCCGAAAGGACGCAACCACGACCTAAAATCGTAAGGAATTTGTTAAAATTATGATTCATAAAATAACATAAAGCTGTGGCTTTATATAATAGAACAATCAGATTAAAATAAGATCCTAGTTTGGGGGTTTTTTTTCACTAAATTTTTTTTATTATTTATTTTTTCCATATACTTTCTTTGACTTTATTTTATTTGAATTTATTATTTATTTGCTGGAAGTTTTTTCAACAGTTTTTGGAATCGCGAAAGCCCACAAGTATGAGTATAGATGTGAATAATAATTATAAACATATACAAAATAAGACACATATATAATAAGAATAAAATAAAATATATAAAATTAAATTAAATTCACGCCATGGAAATACATCATATTTAAATTGGATTGATAATATACAAGAACAATAAATACTTATTTTAAAGGTAGAAGCCTACTCATAAATTTAAATACGAAGAACTTATTCATTTTGCAATATAAGGAATATTGATTTTTAAAAAAATGGGGTATTTTTAATTAGTGAATTGTTGCCATATTGGCGGTATTACATATATAAGTTCTTATGACAGAGACATTATGTCATATCTCAAATTGTTGCCTGATGAGATATCCTAGTTACGTATTATTAATGATTTGGTACTTTTTGTTGTCCTGAATTATTGTTAAAATCTAGGTTTTAAAAAATTTCAAGAGATGCATTTTGTTAACACAGTGTTCTATGGAATTGTTATAAAAATAGCGATTTTTGAAAAATATTTGTATCAGTTTCTCAAAAAACTTAACTGTAACATAAACAAATATGTAACTTTGTCCTGGGCCAATAGCTCCATGATTGTACATAATAAACTAATGGACATTATCATGCGATTTATAGCCAACTTTCTCAAAAAATATAGATGCAGCGTTTCTGTGACCGTGACGTCAAAATGGCGTAGTCACTATCGTTTAGTTGTGTAGTTGTTCGTCATTTAGAATATATTAAATATCCCCAAAATATTATTTTTATTAACGAGTGATCATAAATCACAATATAGACGATGTGAACGATCTCAATTTTCGTATTTACGCCAGGCTTCGTCGCGAGAGGGCGCCACTTATAAATAACTAGCACTTCACATTTGTAGACACTAAATATGTAGCGTAGGTGGCGACATAACGTAGCTGTAACTATTGATCTTTATTCTCTGACTTTTATTTTTACATGTAATAAAACAGTTCCTGAGTCATTAGTGACAATGTGTAACGGCCATCGCCGAAATGTGAATACATATGCATATGCTCTATATGCCCTGGACAAAATGTCAAATACTTTGCCGTCTTGAAGGGCTAAGTCCTATTTCTGACGACATATCACTGAAAATGGTATGTGTTATTTCCCATAATATGGTGCGTCGTACATTTTAATTTTCAACGGTTCCATTGCTTGACCGATTTCAACGAAACTCGGACTACTTAGGCTAGTTAGAATTTAATGCGGCATTATCCTCGTGTAGTTCCAACAGTGCAATCCCAAACTAAGTCGCACAATTCCACCACGCACAAATGAGACGAATATGCCTTGCCTTTTGTTATTAAAGCGCGGTGGTCGTCGCGCTGCCCATGTGCGACATTTTGTGTTAATAAACATTGATTTTCCCACAATCCTAAAAAATACCTAATCAAAGCCTTGAAATGTATCAGTTCGTACTCGTTTATCAGCACAACAGTCAAAGTCGCCATCTTAGTTTATATGAGACCCATATATCTCGCGCATGCGTGGCGCGACGACTATCGCCCTTTAATACGGAAAATTATATTACCTGATGCCATCTGAGACAGACTCGACTGCATATTTGGAGATACTGTAAGGTATATTATCACTGAAGGTCATCAAACCAGCAATACTTGAAACGTTTACTATGCGACCTTTGGCCTTCTTTAGCAGAGGTACGAAGGTCATTGTAACTTGGATCAGACCCAATGCGTTTATTTCAAAACAAGGCTTATACTCATCTCTGCTGAACCAATCAGGCATACCAAGTTCACCCATGATGCCTGCGTTGTTTACGAGGCCCCACAAGCCTGAAAGATGAAATCAACACACACTGCATCAACATTTTGCTCAGTGTCACGCGACGAACAAATTAATATTATTATTGAAAATAAATGTTGTTAAATCAATTATAAAAATATTTATTATTTGCGCGCAAAGACGATTATTCAGAAATCAAAGTGAGTGGTCTGCTGTCATCAACATTTTGCTCAGTGTCACGCGACGAACAAATTAATATTATTATTGAAAATAAATGTTGTTAAATCAATTATAAAAATATTTATTATTTGCGCGCAAAGACGATTATTCAGAAATCAAAGTGAGTGGTCTGCTGTCATAAACACATATCTCAATTTTTTTTTTATAAAAAGCTATTTTTGGATGTATTGGTTACAATTTCGAGTGGGTAACATACCCATTTCCTGCAGGTAGACAAATGCTACCAAACTAGACAATAAACAAAAAAATAAATAGTGACTTTTAAGTCTACCACATCCTTAATTTAACTAAATTCCGGGCGATGATAATTTGTATTACATGTATATACAATGACTATAATTAATTTATAATTCGGGTCAAACTACGAATTTTGTCATAATTTCATCTGGCCACGAATATTGCAATGTGTGTATTAAAAATAGAACTTTAATTTCAGCACAATTTTATTTGATTAAATATCAAACAACAATATCTGACTTTTTAGTACTACCTGTTCCTTTTGGTAGGATTTTCTTGACTTTTTCATAAGCTGCTTTGATACTCTTGTCACTTGCTACGTCCATACTCAATGTCGTTAGACGGTGTGACGTCACAGCTTTTAGGTCACGTGCTCCTTTGTCCGTGAGACAGGCCGCTATCACTTTACATCCTTTTTTGTCCAATTTTTGGGCGAGTAAATTTCCAAAACCAGTGTCGCAGCCGGTAATAAGGACGTACTTAGATGTGATGCCATCGATAGTCGGTAACCGTGACAACCAATCGAAAAGCTTATAAAGGATACAAATGGCAGCGACAGTAGCAACTATTTGCATTACCATAATTGAAGTAATTACTATTAACAAAAACAAGTTTCGAATAGTTAGAATACTTAAACTTTCATATTATAGATGATAAAAAATGTTCGTACAGCATTAAAATGTGACAGTCGTAATATAGAGGGCGTTTTAATTGCGTGAACACAAATAAAGTAATATGCTAGTACTGTCGAAGTAATTTCTGAATCATTTATCTGTGAAGCATTGTAATTGAAACATGCACTATTTGTTAATCGCTTTATTCATTACGTTTTATACAAGTTCAATAATACTGTATTCTGATTTATACATTGTTGCAAAATACGGATTCTGAAGTGAGACGACGACATGAATGCGAACGTGGTAGAAACCACCGCAGTGTGTTCTTTTGTTTCAATTTTTATATTCATCCAATTAGTAGTTTTCCCACTAATTTTCTTACACGGTCAAGAGTTTATCGATGTATATCAAGGGCATACTGCCAATTCTGTATCATTCTTACAATTTGTGTTATATCGTTGATATCGAGTTGTAAGTCTCCGGATTGCCAGCGGGTTTTCCGTTAGTGAATAAATTGTGAGTTTTCATTAAGTCGTTCTTCTGTGGTGATTGGTGCTGATTGTGTAGCAGATAAATTTGCATATTATATTTCGTTACATTTCCATAACCGCAACGTATCGTCCCCCACAAGCACTCAGTTCGGTTAGTTTTATTTAAGCTAGTGGGCCGAGGAAGAAGAGCAATATTGCGTAACAACATTTTTCATAAAACCAAACGCATAATAGTAGTACTTGTAAATTGAAAATTACACAAAATATAAAATTTAATTTAAAATTCTGCTTGACTACACAAGTATTTCGCATATTTCGGTTTTTAAATTACGTGACAGTTGTGAAAGACGGTGGTCGTGGCGCCACACATGCGCGAGATATGGGTCTCATGTAAACAAAGATGGCGACTTTGACTGTTGCACAGACCAACCTGAGATGTTACCAAGTTTCACAATGTATTTCTAGGTGATTGAAAGTTATTGAAGAAATGACCGGTGGTAATCATTGCAAGTTGCACCCAGGTCAAAACTCCTACTTGTGATTTTCTTTAGGAGAGCGCATTGGATTGAGGGGAAACCAACGTTTATCAAAACAAATGTCACATATGCGTGGCGCGACGACCACCGCTCTTTAATATTAGAAGGAATTGAATTTCTTTTAATGCGTTCTATTTTTAACAAGACGGATTTGAAATGTAGACCTAGCCATGCCAATTTGTTAATATTGTCATTTTTTGATGTGCGTCTTTCTTCGCCCTAAAATTATTCGACCTGCTGGATCCTGCAATATGTAAAGACTACCAGCGTCTGCGCTATTAATTAAAACATCACGATATTCAAAATGTAGCAATACAAAACTGTTTAAAAATAGTAAAAAGAGATGAGCTAGGAACAAATCGTCTAATTCTTCTTACTTGCAAACTGTTTAATTATCAGATGGATGTGATGTTTCTATAATATCTATGGTTCCCTGAAGATCCTAAGATGCCAGCCGTGGCAATTTTATTCTTTGTATATGGAATTTCCATTGCATGTTATATTAAAATAACGTAGCTTAACCAGCATTTGTTACGACGCAATGCCCATAAACTCTGCTATTTTCATGACAAGTATGATGACAAATTTTCAAGATCATCATTAATTTTATGGTGCACTTCATCTGGTAAAATCGCAGCACAGTCAGTAGTCATGTCATCATCGTACATCTTAATATCAGAATTACTGTCATGAATTTGTTTTCGCGTATCTGTTGACCGACTTAATTAGCTGATTATTAGCTGAATTGCTGTGTTATGTCTGTCATCGTGTAGGCCTATTTGAAGTTTTGGACGGAACTTGGCTCAGTGATTTGGAACTAATTACGAGATAACCGTCGCTATTCTGACTACTCTTTCTGACAGTTGGTATCCGTAGTTATTAATGTAGTGAACATTAATCAAAAGATATGACGTATTCAGTACTTAGTGTGATTGGCTTTATGATTGAAGGTTACGCCCTAGAGTCTTTTCACTGTTTTGTAATTGGTTAGAGTTTTGAAAATGAATAAAGAGAGTTTGAGTTGGTTTTGACGAGTACACCACGAGAGACGCAGTCTAAGTCGAGTCCTGGAGAGTCGAGAGTCCAGTCCTGGAGAGTCCTGGAGAGCCTTGGGGCGAGTGTTGACGCAGTCTAAGAGAGTCTTGGGTCAGCCTTGCGATAGTCTTGGGGATTTTTCCCCAGGGCGCTGTGTCTTATATAGTGTTCGATTGACCGACTAAGACGAGAGCTGAAACGTATTTCGTTGTGTGTGTCTTATCTGACTGTAAAGCTAAAGTGACTTCCCCGATCCCGTACCTCAATGGGGACGAGATATAGAGACGAGACGAGTTTCCCCCCTGGCACGTGTGGAGAACCCGAGAGGAGAGAATTTCCCCCTGATATTACCATCACCTTTCGGCGTATCGTTCATATTATACAATAAAAATATAGAGACTTATTTATTTTATTAATACGATTTGAACCAATTCAAAGCCCCGGCATCAAATCCCAGCGACCTAGTTTACGCAGTAAAAAAATATGGTCTATGGTGGTGAATGCTTTGAGCAAACAAAAAAAAAACCTGTTACTATACCCAGGTCAATATCGCATGGGTCGAACACGACGAGTCACGAAAACGACCGCTTTTTAAAGCTGCATTACTGTCGCCCTTATATTGTTTGAAGCCTTTAAACCTGTGAAGTTATACTAGTATACGGAATATAATAAATTTAACAGTTATGGCATTCAGAAGATACCCTATACAATATTAGATTTTGGTCTGTGATGACGTATTAATCTGTGATCTAAGTATGGAAGGTAATGATTTAGACTTTCGAAGGATATATATGTTGTTATAGTAACGTGCTTAGTAACATTTCTGGAATATCTGAATCACAGATCTATTTTTAACTCGTTTTACTAAATGTAAAAGTTTATTCACCCCAGTGGTATTTCGGCTTATATACTACTAGTGTGCTCACACCCTAAACACAATTCTACTTGAAACATGTTTCAATGTGCGCAGTGTACTCGATAGTGGCATTGGTGTTTCCAATTAGACATAAACAGTTTAATTTTGAAGCAGGGCTCAGTGTGAATTAGTAACCGGACATTTGATCCATTGTGTTGCACTTTAGCTTGTATGCCGGTTTTTAGTAGGCCATATTCAAATTCGGTCGAAGGCTACGAGAAAGCAACGAGGAAGTCGTGGGCCAATCATAATGCTGGAATCATTACTAGTTACCAGCCTGTTGTGGCTTGGTTCGCCATGACACAAGTGTATTTATTTAACGCGTTTGGTGTGGGCCCTATATTGTGTCTTTGGCTATCACACGATAACACGCGGTCATCAAACTATGCACATATATCTAGTGAATCGGGGTAATAACGAGGCCCAGACAAATAAATATTTACCCATACCTCATTGAATTATGTTTGCAAAATCCCGGGAGCATAGAACCACACACGTTAATATAATCATGGAGTTATATTTACACGTATACTACACGGACTGTACATTACCTGTAATCAGGTCCTTTAGAATTGACACGTAGTCGTCGTTTGAAGACCTTTAATCCACTTGGCTCTTCTAACATATGATTTATATGTATGTACGTATTTTTTGCCAATTGTTAAAGATGGGGGCGACATCATGGCACAGCGCGAGACCTACACCATTGTCCCTCTGTAGCGGGACTGTGTCTAGGCCAACTTACCCCTTCTACTAATTGCCAATAACAAGGGACCATCTGCCCATGTCTTGAATCTGGATTCGTGTCTAGAACCTGAAACTAACTGACCCCATTAAATTGGTCAATGATACAGAACCAACCAATCTTGAACTAAATGACTCCGAATATTCACCCCCCCTATAGCTGTTTCCTTGTACGAACGTTGAGATATTAGGTCATCATGACCGCGTTGGGTCATTATGACCGTGCCCTTTTTAAGTCCATATGGATTGCCAATCAATGCACGTCATGTCACAACTTACAAATTTAACATTGTATTTTATTGACAAGAGAATACAACAGTTTCTAATTTATAACTAAAGGTCTTGGCAGCATTTTGGCTTGGGCATTCCTAAACTTAAGACAAAGTCTGTGATTTCTGCTGGTAGGTATGACAACGGTATCCAGAGTAACTTAGCGTCGTATCCAACCACATACCGACATCTTGGTCTGATTGACGTCAGCGCATGTTCCATGGCGTCCACTACAAGGTGAGTTTTCTCTGATTTGGTTTCAATTAGTTTCATGGTAGAGTCTTTTACTGTAAACCAAATAAAAATAAAATAAAAATATAACATTTGTACTTTAACTACGGTCGACAACTGTTTGTAAACCTCTTCCTAAAATAAGACTTTCGCCGACGTTGCCGGAAATTTGGGTGAAGGTGTCTAAGTTGTGTTTTGAAGTCGCGGTGAAAATGGCAGCAGCAGGAAAACACAGAGTCTTCGGAGGGCCAGTATTTGGGGAAAAAAACCTTCATGTTATTCAGTTGATCAGGTGCACACGTACCAAACTATAAATAATATGATGGTTTTATTTGAATCTTGTAAACTATTTATTTCTAATGAGTCTTGACTGTTGAAATTGAACAAGTAACTTGTATAGATTACCGTATTGCTAGAAATGACCACGATACACACCAGGTCAATGCAAATCGTAATATTCAAATATTCATGATTAATATTAGTTATCTAAATACCAAGAAGCGTGGTAAATGTACAATTTCTCGCCGTCTAAAAATGCGAATGTAACGGATGAGTCAAGTTAAGCGCTTCACCGCTAGAGGGCGTTATTTTAGGAAAGGTGTATCCATCCAAAAATGTGAAATGATACTGCGCCGACAGTAAATACGAGTAGCTCAGCACGTGATGACCACGTGAAGACACTCACGTTTAGCAAACCATTCTTCTCCATAAGATTCCTTAACCTCGTGACTTTGTCGCCCCCACTTTTCTTCCAATGCCTGCGTAAGTGTGTCAGCCCTTAACATATTCGTAGCAAAGTAGCCAGGTTCTATAATGGACACATTCACTTGGTATGCGCGCATTGTTAGTCTGTTGGGAAATAAATAAGATAAACTATTCACGTATATCACATCTCACATCTCTGTGAGTCATTTCTTTTTTAAATAAAATATTTATCAACTTGACCGTTCACAGTGCCTTTGTGGACGAACACCACCGCAAGTGTTCCATTCCTACCTACCACGAAAATACCCATGCTACCTGGAATTGATTATGTTTTACAATTTACATAAGCGTTTTGTAGTGACGATGATATTTGTGCTATTCGAAATATATATCTGCAACATATTGGTTTTAACAGATTGTTTTGCGTTAATCCGCCATTGTCACAGAAAGACACGACCCTCATGGGTGAAATGGCTTCTCTGGTCATCATCGGATCCCAGGGTATAGGGGTAACAGTTTCATAAAAATCGTTCACATCTTTTTGAAAATCATAGCATCTTTGAAGATGAAAATAAATATTATCTAATGTGTTTCATCCGGTTTAACGAATAAAATTGTCCCAGAGTCCCTGTTTTGGGGTTCTATGTAGAATACATAATATTGATGGTTTCGAACATTGAGCGAACAACACATATAAACAGGTACTCGGGAAGCGTTCGGGATTTTGTAGAACAAAGTTTCGAGTATGAAAAGAAAAAAGATGAAAATTTCACACTGTGACTGAACACTTAAATGTAAAAAGAATTCAGAAATTATGTATACGACATTCTGGTCACGGATATGTGAATACAATATTGGAAAAAAAGAAATGTCCTTAACCTTCAAGATTTCAATTTCAACACCATATTCACGAAATACAAATCAAGTGTCATCCCATACACATACCTCAATCCATCGGAGAATGACTCGACTGCGTGCTTTGAGATAGAGTACGGTCCTCCGGGTAGGGAGATCCTCCCCAACACACTAGAAACATTAACAATTCTACCACGACTTTTCTTGATCAAAGGTAAGAATGTCGTAGTGACTTCAATAAGTCCGACTATGTTGACATCCAGGCATTGCTGGTATTCTGCCCGACTGAGCCATTCATACATCCCAACAGTACCCATTACACCGGCATTGTTTACAAGACCCCATAGTCCTGAAATAAATTGTACACTGTTTGTTATATGTATACTTGTTACTGAAAATACAGAGAGAGATATAGATCTGTCGAATTGGGGCTGCTGCTAAAGAATGATACTGGACCTACATATCAATAGTGGAATGAACGTGTCATTATCCAAGAGAGGTAGGTCCCCTTCAACAGATAGGTCAACGAACCAATCCCGGAGCATCTGTGTGTTGTGTAGTGATATTTCGGGATTTAAATTGACAAATGAACTTTTGGCCACAAATATCTGTTTCTTGTCCAAAGTTGATTAAAAATAAACTTTTAATAGCCACCAGCGATAGATACATTCCCTCTATTGCTTTCTTTGTTTCAACATAGACCTGGTTTTACAATGTAAATAAAAGAGAAAACAAAACTTACGAGCGCGGCCGTCAAAAAACACATTTTTGTTGGCCTTAGATTACCTGTTCCCAGTGGCATGGAGCTCCGAACTTCCTCGAAACACTGCTTAATGCTCTCACTGTTAGTCACGTCCATCAACACTGTCCGTAAGCAACCAGACGTTCCACGTTTTAGGTCTTCTGCTCCTTTCTCCGTTAAACACGTTGCTATGACGAAAAAGCCCGTTTTATCCAGACGCTGAGCGAGCTGGTAACCGAAGCCACTGTCAGCTCCAGTGACGAGAACGCATCGAGCTGAAATACCCGGGATGGCTTGTAAACGACGAAGGTAATCGTATAATTTGAACGCGATATAAGAAAATAGGAGAACGGTAACCAATGTCTGTACCTCCATTTCTGTTAACAGCTGTAATTGATAATTCTTGTAAAAATCAGTAACAAATCACATGGAAATATTTAAATAAGTACTGCTCAGTTGGTAAACACTGTAGCCCTAAAGCGCGGTGGTCGTCGCGCATCGCGTGTTCGAATTTCATGTAAATGAACAATGTATTTTATACGCGTTGTATACGTCGCTATGAGTCCCATATCGAACATGACGCGGCACGACAACCACCGCCTTTTACATGTAAAATGTGCCATACAAGATACAAACTAAATATAGAACAATGCAAGCTTGGGTGTTTTCTTTCCGATTTGTACGTTTCATTGTATGTTTACATTTTACATCTACCCGAAATATACGAGGTTTTTTCAAGAACATACGTTTACGTGTAAATGTGGTTGGCCAAAGTCCAATGCAAATATAGTAAATGTACAAACAAGGTGTTCATTTAAGCTGTTGACCAGTGTCGTGTATTTCGTATACTGTGGGTCATCATTGGCCGGGTCATTGGCAAAGTTGCGCGTGTCGCCGTGGCAACAACGTAGTATGAGCGTGTATACTGGCGTAAATACACTCTTTTAGAACAATGAGACAAAAACATTTCGATAGTAGATGAGGGTGAGTTGGGGGAATAGCAAAACTGAATGCCACTCTGCATTATAATTGAAATGCACCAGGGTCTCGCCAATTAGCAAATAAGTTATTAAACACGGCGAATTTTCCGATACTGACCTTTTTTTATAACGGAGTTTCTTGTGTCAAAATACCTCTTCTGATAAGTTATCTGATGTGGTAGTCGCCTGTGTATAAATTATGTACACAATCTGTTGTATTCACCTGCCACCCCACAACGCCAACACGTGTATATTACTTTGTTTTTATAAACGAATACGTGGCCGGAGCATCCGTACACGACCATGTTCACATACCCAACCCGTTTGGGTGGCACTAAAACATACTTTCATATAGAGAATATAAGGGAAGAAATATGAAAAAGTTAAGATTCGTTAAGCGATGATGTAATCACAAGCATGAACTAAACAGATATCGTTTCCTCGTACACATATTAAAATAGACAAAAGGACAAGTCCAGTTACGAGCCAAGTTAATGACAATCAATGTTTATTTGTAAAGTACACGAGATTCAACTTAATTTATTCACCAATATTTCATGAAGAAGGAACTCAAAAAACGATACACCAGCTGCATCAAAACATTATTTATTTATTCATTATAGTTTTTGTATCACCGCTGTATTACATATTTCTGTTGTTAAACTTGTTGCTGAATCCATATCCAAATACAATACAGTTACAATACAATTAAGTATACCTGCGAATATGTATTCAGAACGGGAAGTGATTTGGAAATGTGGTGAATTTCTACATTAAAATGACTTTGTCTTTGTCATGTCAGAGTTCACGACTTAGTTCATTGTAAAAAAATCACTGTTCTTGTTCTTGACAGTCACTAGGTTAAGAAACAAACAAACAAACAACAAAAAAACAACAAAACAAGCATGCATTTTTGGGTTTTAATGATGTAAATTTGTAATCTAAATAGCTTTGAGAAATTCAAACCTATCTCAAATATATTCTTTGTTTTCATTTCCGATTTCACCGAAAAACTAGGTTAGTTGGAGCTTCGATGTCGCAGATTCGCCCAATAACAAATCACTGCAATTCACCCGTGCGGTTAAAAAAAGCGGCCATTAAAACTTGACTGAGCTAATCGACAATGGGACGATTAATCCAATTTTTCACATATTATTTAAATCTGTTCAACCTGTAGTCCAGTAATGCTATGGCATATTAGTTACGTGCATGACTTTTTTACTGTCTGCATTCTGAATGCAGTCGAGATTCTCTGTTAATAGGTTACCAACAAAAATGGAAAGTGAGTGAGATTTTCAGGTACTGT